ATTCCTTCAGGAGGCCTTGGGGGTGGGGACAAGTTCGAGTTCAGGGTGAAGGAGCTATCTGTCTGTGGGATAGGGGTTGTCCTTGTCACCAAAGGCCAAGACCTGTAGAGCCCTCTTCCTGCTTTCCCACAGTCTGCCAAGATCCCGATGCCAAATGCCCAAAATTTCCATGGCTCAGAGCACTAGTTTGGAGACGGACAGTGCAGCATGTGATGTTTAAGTCTTTCAGACTTTCCTGCCACCGCAGTCATCCAGGCAGCGGCCCCTTCCCCACCAGGACCACCACGATGTTAGTTCTGTCCGCACCTGGGACAACACACTGTCAGAGCGCAGAAGCTCTTTCATACTTGTGGGGACTACAAGCCTTCTCGGGCTTCTGCTTGATTATGTCCAGCAACAGGAAGTTCACTCCTTCACAGAGCAGCCGCAACCCCAGAGCTAAGCTTGAAAAACTCTTCCAGAGCCAAACTCCAGGTCCCTGTGACATGTCCCTCTGAGGCAGCCTTCGAAGGTGCGGTCTCAGCCCTCACTTCCTCCTTAGTCTTCTCTTCACAGCACAGGGTCTCAGCGCAGTCGTCATCTGACACTGGTTTGCAGACTCTGGTTTATTCCACTGAAGTGGACTGTCCACGACTGAATATAGTGGCCAGGGGAGAGGAAAGGGTGCTGTGGCCCCTCTTACTCATTTGTTTGGGTTTTCCTTCCTCCCTTCATCAAATATTTACTGATTGACTGTCATGGACCCTGTGTTGTGCTGGACCCGGGAGTCAAGCAACAGACAGGAGTGTCACCTGGCGAACAGTGGGAGGAGGTGGCAGAGGACTGTGGAAGCCAGTGGCAGGGAGACCTACCGTAGTCAGGCACAAGGAAGGTTCCCCGGAGAGGTGCTGTGTAGGCTGCACCTGAAGAATGAATAGGTGTCAGGTGGGTGAGGAGAGAGGCCTGGAGGGCAGGGAGCATGATAGGTGGAGGGACTAGCTTGTCTGAAGGGCCTGAGGAGGGAGGGAGCATTAGGAAGAGCTGAAGGGTCACAGTGGCTTTTGGGAGTCTAGAGAGGAGAGGAGAGGAGAGGCAGGGGGAGAGCCTGTGGGTTAGAGCGGGGGACTCTGTTCTAAGGGCGATGGGAAGCCCATGAAGGGTTTTCAACAGAGTTGTAAAATGGTCAAATTTGCCTCTTAAACACCTTGCGGATCAGTCACAAGTATACACGTGTTTCCGTGTTCGAATGTTGCTGACCGGTCACAAGATAACTCGTGTCTGCACTTACATTAATTTAAATAATTTAAAACACCTTGCCGACTAGTCATGACAGAAAAGTAGCTGGCCACACAGGTGAGTTCTGGGTTGAAATAGCCAATCAGCAAGGTGTTAAAAAGACCTTTCTGACCCCAGGATGGATCCTCAATTAGAAGAAGGCAAGAGTGGTTGCAGGAAAAGGGTATGAGGTCATCCATTGTCCAGGAAAGAGGTGGAGGTTGCTGTGGAGGAAAGTAGACGGATGCTGGAGAAATTTGGGGGTAGGACTGACAGGACCTGCCAACTGACTGATGTGGGTGGGCAAGGGAGGGAGTTTCCAGGATGTCAGGACTCCCGGCTTTCTGGCTGAGCAGGGTAGTGGGTGGTATTGCTGTTAATAGAAGCTGAGCTCCAGTTGGCTTTTCTGGCAGCCAGTCTCACTGCCTGCAATCAAGAAAACCCCTCAGTTCTTTCACACATGCTGCAGGGACCCAGCTGCATGTCCCTCAGAGACAAAGTCCCTGCCACTGCCACCATCCCCAGCTAGTCTGCTGGTCCCACCTGACCGCTGTCAGTGTCAGCCCACCAAGAAGCAGGGATCAAGACCAGAGCACATACGGCTGCCCTGCGCCCCAGAGACTGCCCCCCTTACCTGGTGGGCCTCCTGCCCTCTGCCGCTGTGCCCCTGTCCATCCCTAGCTGCCCGTCTTAAAAGAGGGTGCTAATATCCACAGTCAAGAACGGCCCCCGACAGGAAGCTGGGGCCAGTGCTGAGGTTGCAAGGGCGGACCCTGTTTGCAGCTTCCAGTCCTGGCTGTGGCCCAGAGATGCTGTGGCAATAGTCTCTGAAGCCCTGGTGTGGCAGCCCGGAGCACTCTGGTTAGCAAGAATTACAACTTCTGGAATTAGACCGTGGTGACAGTTGCACAACTTGTGAATATACTAAAAAAAATGTACTTTTAAAGGGTGAATTTTATGGTATTTGAATTGTATTTCAATATAAATAAATGAACAAACGGATAACATAGGCAATAGAAAATGGAAATCAATGCTATCACCAGGAGCACTGGGCCCAGGTTGATGATAAACAAGGGAAGCGAGGGAATGTCTTCAAAGGCTCTGGCTCCCGTCGCCGTTTCCTGCATGGGGATGTTCTCAGCCTGGCGCTCTTCCTTAGTAATGAACTTCAGGCCATTCCGTTCTTAGCTGTCCTGGGAGTGGGGCAGGAAGGAAAGGTCACGGGCTTCTCTCCTCTGGGGACTTTTCCTCTCTGCTGAGCCTGGCAGGGAAATGTTTCAAGGTGCTGGTGGCTCTTCCCCCCTGAGCACTCTGGGGAGCTCACTCTTCCTCTGTAGTGGGGGTGTCTGTGCTAACCCCAGCCCACCCTACCTGCCCTCTCTCTGCCTCTCTTGCCTCTCCCTCCCCATCCAGATAGATTCCGGACTTTGTGCCCTCTCTGTTCCTTTTTGCTTGCCTGGGTTCTCCACAGGTTATGAGAAATGGGGGGATTCCTTGCCTACGTCTCAGCACTTGGTCCCAGAAGCCACTGATGGAGGGCCCAGGGTGCCCTCCTGTGGCCATCAGCAGCACTGCTTCTTCCCACCCTCTGGCCTTGAAAGTTTTCCCGCTAGAATTTGAATGTTCAACTCTGGTAGTTGGGGCAGTTTTTTCTTCCCCAAGAGATAGAGATACATGAGAAACAGGCCTTCAGATATAGGTGGAAAGAAAGAAGGTGAATTAGCCACAAAAACTAAGGAATAAACGTTAGCGTTTGTACTCTTTTAAGAGGTAGTGTGGCCTACTGGAAAGTGCATGGCCTGTGGAGTCGAGCAAACTTACCAGCTCTATGACCTTAGCAAGTCGAACTTCTCTGAGACTTAGTCTATTCACCTATAAAGTGGAAATGATAACAAGGCCTACCTCGTTGTGGGATAAAATTTAATTAATACGGTGCCTGCAGTGAAGCAGGTACTCAGCCAGTGGGATACGTGTTTCTATTATTACAAGACTAGATGCAGGAACCATTTTCACTCTTTGGGGAGATCTGAAACCAGGGCCACCTGCCTTGAAAGACTCCAGGGGTACCGCTCACATTATCCTCTCTAAAGCCCCTTCCCCATAGGTGAGCAATGCTGCCTCTCTCTGGAGCTGATGCAGTTGCCAGTTTGGGGACCCTTGACAGTGGGTGGTGCAGGGAGATTGAGAAAAATACGTGCGAGCTCAAAATAAAACTTTTTAAATGTAAAGATAAAGCCAGACAGGCCTAGTCAGAAACAGATTGGGGTCCCAGCTCCCTTTCAGTAGATGAGTTTGGCGCCCTGCCTGGCACATGGAAGGAGCCCAGCAAGTGCTCATTTCCTTCCCTTCCTGTCCTCTCTCTGATGGGGCCCTGAGCAGAGTATGAATATGGCCTGGGCCTGAGCCCTTTAGTAGTCACATGGGTTTTCCTGGGAGGTGGGTGTGCAGTGGGAGGAACTAAAGAGAGGAAACACCAGGAGGTGGTCGACTTGTGACAGTGGACAGCAAAAAGGAGCCGTGGCCACCCTGATGCCACCAGGCGGTGGTGCTCCTTGACCCTCTCCAGTGTAGACCCCAGCAGCTCTGAGCCCTCTTCCCTTCCCTGCCCTCCTTGTCCCGGGATGGAGATCCTGGAGCTTCCTGGCCCTGGGGAGCTTATTAAATCTCAGCACCACTTGCCAAGACCCCTTTAAACCTCTTGGCTGTTCTTTTTGCCTTTTCCAATCAGCTGTATTTATTCTGACTAAATGGTCCTCACTGCGGGATGAAAGGATTTACTGCTCAAGTATATGAAAAGAAATCTTGGCTGCATTACAATTGCACCCTCTCCTTGCTGCCCAGCCCCCTCTCTTCCCTCCTTAGGCCCCATCTGCTAGCTGGTGCCACAGAGACTGAACTGGGAGCCTGCCCTTGCTAATGTGGTCAGCTCAGTTTGGTGGCAGAGCCCAATGGGTGAAGAAATGAGGTTACTGGGAGGAGCTTGTTTGGGGAGCCCTCTCCCAATGGCTTGCTGCCCCAAGAGAGACTAGAACCCCAAGAATGGCTCTCTTTCTCCCCCCCC